CAGGACCTCAGACCAGCTCTTTGTCTGTCACGGAGGCCAGCAGAAGGGGAATGCAGTCTCTAAGCAGAGGATGGCCCACCGGATAGTGGATGCCATCACCCTGGCTTATCAGGCACAGGGTGTGCCCTGCCCGTTCAGGTTGCGAGCTCACTCAACCAGAAGTGTTGCATCCTCCTGGCCACTGGCTCGTGGCGCCTCGCTGGCGGATATCTGTATCTGGCTGGGCGACCCCTAACACGTTCGCTAGATTCTATAGCCTTTGTGTGGAGCCGGTATCCTCCTGTGTTCTCACCTCAAATGGGTAGAAGCACTGAGAGGCCCCGGCTTCGGGTCGGCTTGCTAAAACCACTCCAGAGAGTCCATATAGTAGACCCTGTTGTGTTCCTCCATCCCCTCGGCAGCCAGACGTGGCGGAGCGTCCGGCGCCAGGCCTTCACTCATTGAATCCTCGAGAATCGGTAGAAGGCTGGGTTCCATATGTAAGACCTAAGTGGATCCCATATGTGTAAAGTCCACGGTATAGCCTTGAGCCCGTGTTTCCCCGGCAGACATCTGCCATTCCAAGAGGGTTACCGGCTCGGCTCCTCAGCAAAAACCTGAATATGCGCTGCATCTGCTGCCTACTTATACTCACGCTGTGATCAGCAGCAGCTGGATTCAATAAGCGCATGCCAATGTGCATTGGCTCGTTTAGTTTACACTCAAAGTAGATTGGTCTCTCTAAGCGAGATCCCAATTCGTTGGTCATCCGACGTGACGTCTCCGTTCCCTCCTTCAGGGAACGAGGGTTACCATACATAACCGAGATGTTTCTCATGTGCAACTATTCAAATGATCATCTAGCGATCAGTTGCTGTATATATGTTAAATAAAACAGAATTGCGAAAATGCTGAAAAGTTTCAAATACTTTTCTGTTATAAAATCTGCTAATGCTAATAAAATCTGCTAATGCTTCAGTAAAACCAGTCCAACCCACGAACACAAGTTGAGACATGTTTGGCCCTTTTAGCTGCTCAAATAGACCAGTTACAATTCTGAAATGATGTACTTCATATTTAATGTGCTGCCACTTTAAAAAATATAAATAATAAAACTCTAAATCAAGAGTGTGAAACATTGGACAGAGTGGTGTAGCAACCATTATTTTTGTTAGCAAATTAGCAATGAGCAAGTTACTAAATGGTCGTCATAAACAGCCTACTATATTACATAAGGTAAACTTGTTTATTTAGATTATTATTGATAATAAATGTAACTTTTTATTGAACGTACAACAGAGTCATGTGACACTGAAGACAGGAATAATATCTGCTAAAAATTCAGCTTTGCATCACAGGAATAAATTATACTTGAAATGTATTCAAATAGAAAATAGTTATTTAAAATTGGAATAATATTTCACAATATTACTATTTTTAATGTATTTCTTAATTGGATAAATGCAACCTCGATGAGCATAAGAGACTTCTTTCAGAAACATTTAAAACATTTTACTGACCCAAAACCTTTGAATGGTAGTTTTTAAAAAATATCTGTTTAGCATTATATCATGCAGTAATAACAAAATATAAAGTGTTGCCAATAGTAACATTCAGTATTGCTGCCACACTGTATGTGTGTGGCGTTTGGTCTCAGAGATGTGAGAAGAGAACGAGGAATGACCCAATTATTCCTCCCTCACTGCCACCTCTCTCCTCCCTTCAGAGGCCCAGAAAGAGGTGGAGGAAAAAAAAAGTTACTCTTGTCCCACTTTTCCATGACCTGCTTTTTTGTCTTTCGAGCACTAGAAGGAGAAGTGCAGTAGTCCACTGAGGCAGAAATTAGGACAATGAAGCCTCTTTTTTTTGTTGTATAATGTGTGTTTGCAGCAAACAGCATCATCCCTATGTGTCCTTATCATATTGAAAAAGCACTTTGTGCCTTTGCAGCCACATAAACAGAAAATTAAATTCCTTGTGTCATATCCGGACCAGAATTCATTTGTGCTCCCATTTATCTATTCATCTTTTGTGTGTCTGTAAAATGTAGGTGACCCTCTCAGACATAATTGATGCTTTACTTGAGTGTTTCCATGCTTTACTGCTGGAGCAGTCTTAGATAGATCCGGTCACATGACATACAGTGGACCATAAAAGTCTGGGGCAAATCTGTGAAAATACAATTTTTTTTTATTTTAGCAAATGTGTTACATTTCTTCAGTACAAATTATTATATTACATTAAAAAAAATGGAATTAGTACTTATAAATAAATAACACCTTTTACATTTCTGCTGTTTATTCTGCTTTCTATTCTAGAATGTCTATTCAGAGTCACATGATTCAGTCAGATTACATGATCAAAGTAAGATTTTTTTATCAAGGATGCATTAAATTGATCAAAAGTGACAGAAAAGACTTTTATAATTATACAAAAAAAAGAATCAAATAAATGCAGTTCTTTTGAAATTTCTATTCAACAAAGAATGCTGAACAAAACAAAATGTATCACAGTTTCCACAAAAAATGTTAAGCAGCACAACATTGCTAATAAGAAATGCTTCTTGAGCAGCAAATTATCATATTAGAATGATTTCTGAAGGATCGTGTGACACTGAAGACTTAAGTAATGATGCTGAAAATTCTGCTTTACATGACAGGAATAAATCACATTTTAAAATATATTAAAATACTAAACAGTTCTTTTAAATTGCAATAATATTTCATAATATAAAAATTTTACTGGATTTTTAATCAGTTAAATGCAGCCTTGATGAGCAGAAGAGATTTCTTTCAAAAACATTTTTAAAAAATCTTTCCGGCACCAGACTTTTCAATGGTATCGTTTGTTTTAATATATATATACTGTATATTAATTAATGTGCATCCATGCTGTCATTTTCTTCCTGGTAAGATGGCAGGCAAAGGAAATGGGTTATAGAATAAAAATAGAAATTGTAATGCGTAAGCGAGCAAAATATTCTTGTGCACATATGAACAGTTTCTCTAGGGCACGAAAAACTTTCTTGTGTACATGCAAAAGTCTGTGCAAGAAAATCTATGAAAAAAACCCCTGAGAAAACAAAAATATTTACAGATGACTGAGCTATATGCCAAATATAAAGCTGAAAATAATGCTGTATGAACCATTTATGTTAAATATGGTCTGAAAATCTACTGCGAGGTTTGGAAATTTGAGTCTGGAGAAGAATGGGATTTTGAAATGGAAAATGTGTAGGAACCCTGTAAATGATGTCAAACCTAATAAGGCATGTCTAAAGGTGCATTTTTCTTTAACATATTAATGAAATATAAGAATGAAAGAGAGAATTACATTTAAGAACCCCAATTATAGTTAATTTAATAAACCAATGAGAAATTATTTTAATTTCAGCCGTACTAATTTCAGTTACTCTCACAAAGCTGTCCTGTAGCTTCAGAAGAGTTGAAATAATAGTGCATGACTAATGTGGACTACTTTTATGATATTTAATGGTGCTGTTTTTTTGTTTGTTTTTTAGGAACATTACAGTATAAATCACCATCCACTTCCACATACTCTAATATTCTGCTTAACATCTCCCTTCGTTTTTATTGAAAGAAAATGATACAGGGTCGGAATGACATGAGGATGAGTAAATTATGACATATTATTTTCATTTGAAGGCGATCTATTTCTGATCTATGTTCTTACTTTGTTTACAGGGCATTGGGAAAAACAAGACTGTTACTCGATTCTTGCATCTCATGAACAGGCCGAGAGAATATCATCAGCTTCACAGGTAAAGTCCCTTGAGTTTTCCTCAAAAAGCCTCAGAGATGTCTCAGAGAGGAAGACCTATTATCAGAAACTACTCTCCTGACTCAATTAGAACCTGGTCACGAGGCCACACCGGAAATGATCCATATCCACTGACATCACATGCACCTTTTCATCATTGGTGAATAACTGAGTAATGTATCCTCTTTGTATATGAATAGAACAGAGAATAAAAGAGAGGACACCTTTATTTATCAGAACGATAAACACCTGGACACGGATGCATCATACAAGTGTTTTCTATTAGGAGGTGAAGCTTCCTTTTGCAGACTCACCAAGTGCCTAAAATAAAAAGATCTCCTCCCTGAGGCTCGAGTGAGCTATTTTAATCCTGTTAAATTAGGACACGTGTCGACAGGGCAGAGAGAACTTTTAAGTTGTACTTTTGCCTTTGAAGAACTACAGTTAAAGGAGTAGTTCTCTTTTTACATTTTGCCACCCTTAACCTTGTTCCAACCCCGTTATTATTTTTCTTTCTTCTGTGAATCATAAAAGTAGATGTCTTCTTTTGACAATCCCTCTTAATAAAGTGTCAAAAAGAGCAGAAAATGTTCAAAAAGCTGTAGTTTTATTTCGGTTCTCATCCGGTCCCTTTTAATTCTTCCTAGTGAGATAAAATACGGGGGGCTCGTCCGGGATATTTTGAGCTATAACTCATCCGGCAGATTACTGTGTAAATATCAGTGCCATTTAGGTTATGCAATTCATTGTTAAAGATGGGATACATCACTTGTGATACTGTGCTGAATAAAGTATAAATTTATTGACAAGACAAAGCATAACATGCTTATAACAGGGCTCTCGCAGTCATTGAATATCCTGAAATACAATATCAAATCAGGATATTAGCATGATTTCTGAAGGATGGACAAGACAACAAAATTACATTTTAGAATATTAAAATGGAAAACAGTTTTTTTTAGAACGTAACAATATTTCGCAATGTCAATGTTTTACTGTATTTTTGATCAAATGAATGCAGCTTTGGTGAGCATAAGAGACTTCTTTCAACCCCAAAAAAAAACAAAACACACTTTTGAAAAGGCATGAAATTCAATAAAATCTTATTTTTAAAAAAACTACAGTACATATGCATTTTTAGTCATCCTCTGCAAATATTTAATCTGACAGTTTGTTCTTTGTGAGTGCAGTCTGATTTTTTTTATCCGTTCATCACAAACGACTTGAAAAGTCATGGAAACTTATGTCACTGTGTCTAACCCATCTATGAGGTGCAGAGGTTGAAGTCATCTTGAAAGTTTCTTCTTGAAAGTTAAACCAAAGTCAAACTCGCATGCATTATGGTCTGGTTAGCGATTATGGAAGTCTTAAATTAGCCTAAAGTAATCACTTCAGGGATTAACCCTTCCACTAAGCCCGCAGAGATATGTGTCACATTTCAAACCTGCACAAGAACTCGAGAGCGCTCTGTCCATCACACTGAATTGAGGCCAGTTTACTTTATACTTCTATAGGACCCATAAGTATGAATCCACAAATCATCTCACTCTCTAGAGATATTAGCAATGATTTAACTGTGAACAGAATCTCCATTTACTGTACACGTGTGATGTTTCATGACAAACGCAGTCTAAGCTCTGATCTTGTATGCTTCAACAGAGACACTACAGTCCAGACTTTAACGCTGCAGCCCTCTGAGAGATGGCATCATCATCTATGAAGACTCTCCATTGGTCAGTATTCACCTCTAACATCGTGGCTCTGTTTCAAATATAGTGAGCTTCTTACACAAACATCACAGAGACGTCTATTTGACGTCTGCATTTCCATCTGCAAGACGTATTTTTTTTTAGAGTGTTTGCTCATCTGCAATACGTGTATAGGACGTTTCCTATCAGATGTCAAATAGACGTTTATAAGATGTCTTTAAGATGTTCATGATTTAGAATGTATATAAAACTGACGTCTGAAAGATGTCTATCAGATGTTTGTACACAGCAGATGCTTTCCAGATGAAGCGATCTTTAACAGACATCTTGCAGACATACGTGTGCTATCTGGGATAAGTTTACTCTCAACGTTAAAGAGTCTTTTTTTTTTTTTAAACAGGGGTTTTCAAACTTTTTGATGCTATGGACTCCCAAATATAATGATCCCTTGTTAGGGGCCCTTTTCCTGAGATATAAAGACAACTTTGTACTTTCATGTATAAACACCCGTTTACATTGTGTATAGTAGTGAAATGTTTGGTGTGATATTATAAAAAAACTAAATTAAATAGTTGAAGTAATAATTAGCATTTATATTACCTTTACTAAAGCACATAGTTAAAATATATTTCTCCCATTCATACTAATACAAGTACAACTAATACAACCGTCTTATATATACAATATTTGACCCTAGTTTGAAAACCCTGTTCTAAGAACTCATCAGAGGAGGCAATCCCAGAATGCATTGCAACATATTTTAATCAATAAACACTTAAGAGTATTAAGTTGTTAGCTCAACGACACACTAAAGGTGCGGTCACATTTACCGCTGCTTGGTGAAATTTCCAATAGGAATTTGTGCAATTGGGAGTTTCACACAAGGACAAAATAGTTGCACATGCAAATCCCACTCACTTGGTTTGCAAGTGACTTCTGTGAGAATTGTGTATTATACATCGTTATGCTATTGACAATAGACGGTAACACAGAACTCTACTGGAATCAATTCCATCTCTTTTACGCTTCACCTGAGGAGCTGTATTTGTATGACATGCAGTTGAGGTTTCATTCCCCTTACGTTACGTGGTTCAAATCCTTTTTTTTTTGCTCATATGTGACCCAGATCTGTCCCCCCCCCACACCCCCCTCATAATAGTGTGAATGCTCCAAACACATGGAATCTGATCTTTTCAATTATGATTTGGGCCACTTTCATATGTGGTACTAAATCAGATACAGGTCTGATGTTTTGCAATGTGACCTCAATCTGAACAGTCTTATGGTAATTCATGCAACTTTTACATCACTCTAGATCGACATTCGTGCCAATTCTGCATTGATGGGAGTCACTCCAATTTTTTTACATAGTGGTAGTTCTTTGGTCACTCTATAATATGTAATATGAGAAGCAGCCATGATGGTAGTCAGTCGAGGGACAGTGAGGTGTGAGTATTACGGCGACAGCTCTATACAAGCAAAACTTGAGGAATCATATTGTAAATATTGATCTCCTCATATCTCCTCTTTGTCTCGTTATTGCCTGTGTACAAATTTTCTGGCTTCCATGGCACATCACCTTACAAACGTACATATAAACATTGACTTCAGTGGCTTTCCATATGACAGCATGCTGCATGCTTTGTTTGTTTGTTTTGAACATACAAGACAGTTCAGGACTGTGATCAGTTCACACTCAAATCTGATACTGGCCACATTTCAAAACATAATGTCAACGGCCAAACAAAAATGTAAGCTTCACCCCCTCCGTGGTTCTGGGTGTCCTGTGATCTCCTGAAAATCAGTCATGTGAAGTGTAAACTTTGCATAGTGATATTTATACATCTATCAGCAGATGGTCCGGACCACTGTTCCAGCGAGGACAAACACGTTGCCAGCTCACACCCGGAGGACGCCCAGCACAGACGAGGGAAAAAGTGTTAAAAATTAATGAATGACCTCGAGGACAGTGTGTTATAATCCTCCACGCTGAAGTCAGCCTGATGTTTTGTTAGCATGATGGTGCCATTTAGACGCGTTGTTTGTGAAGCAGGGTCGCGGGTGTTCTCTGCAAAAGGCTTTTAACGATGTCTCTGCTCGATACAAGGTGGAGGGAGATGAAAAGCCGACTGTGATTCGGAGTTTGGCCCCTCAATTAGCACCCAGCGGTTTGCAGCTCTCAGGGTATAAATAGTCTTTAGGCTTTGAAGCCCTTTCTGACGCCTCATCTGATATCAATGCTTCTAAATGGTCACGCATTGTGCCGGGCCAACAGATAAAAGCAACAATAAAACACCCCTCATTCTCCACAAACTACCTTTCAGCTGTGGGTTGTAAATAACAGGCACTAATGTCACCTACATGTCAGAGGTGATGAAAACAAGCTGAACGTGGCTATAATCTTCAGCTCTCCATTAACTCCGATCCTCTTTGCTGTTAAAGATGATCTGTAGATGGAGTTGCAATGGTTCAAATATGGCAACAGGAAAGCGTGGAAACCGAACTGTATATCAGCGCCTATTCTGTATGGGAAGCTTTTGGCGCCTCATGATTCAGATTGAATTCAATTCAGCGAGTTACAGTTTGATTCCATTCAGTTCATCAACATTGTTTTTTACAACATCATAGGAGTTAACGTGAATCATGGCCAAATTAAATTAAATGAAAGATTTTACTTAAAACATTTTAGTTCAGGTTGGTTGTCTTCTTTAAGGTGTCAAACAATTGTACACTTGTTTTTACATCCAAGAGGTTAGCCAATCAAAAGAGGGTAGTTTACATATAAAAAAATTTAAAGGTACACTACCATTCAAAAGTTTGGGGTCTGAGAGATGTTTTAATGTTTTTGAAAGAAGTCTCTTTTGCTTACCAAGTCTACATTTATTTGGTCAAATATGCAGTGAAAACAGTAATATTGTGAAATATTATTTCAGTTTGAAATAGCCGTTTTCAATTTGAATACATTTTAAAATGTAATTTATTCCTGTGATGCAATGCTGAATTTGCAGCATCATTACTCCAGTCTTCAGTGTCACACGATCCTTCAGAAACCATTCTAATATGCTGATTTGCTGCTCAAAAAAAAATTCTTATTATTATCAGTGTTGAAAACAGTTGTGCTGCTTAATGTTTTTATGGAAACCATGATACATTTTTCCAAGATGCTTTTTTAAATAGAAAGTTAAATAAATATGTATTTATTTGAAATATTTTGTAACATTGTAAATTTTGCTGTCACATCTAATTAGTGCGTCCTTGCTGAATAAAAGTATTTATTTCTAAAAAAAAAAAAAAAAGAAAGAAAATCGCACTGACCCGAAACTTTAGTGTATAGCAGTAGCCTGAAGATAGAAAATGGTTGTTTTAACTACATTAGTGAAGTGAAGTGAAGTGACATGTGGCCAAGTATGGTGACCCATACTCGGAATTAGTGCTCTGCATTTACCCATCCAAAGTGCACACACACAGCAGTGAACACACACAAACCGTGAACACACACCCAGAGCAGTGGGCAGCCATTTATGCTGCGGCGCCCGGGGAGCAGTTGGGGGTTTGGTGCCTTGCTCAAGGGCACCTCAGTCGTGGTATTGAAGGTGGGAGAGAGTGCTGTACATTCACTCCCCCCACCTACAATCCTTGCCGGTACGAGACTCGAACCCACAACCTTTGGGTTATGCGTCCGACTCTCTAACCATTAGGCCACGACTTCCCTGTTTTCACCATCCCCACGACACCTGATTTTGGTGCAAGAAACGAGGATCAAACGCATTCCATGTCACAAACCCATCACTGACAGGAATCCTTCTTCGATATCCACAGATCCACTGGAAGCAGCCGGAAGACCTAATGCCATTCCCATGCATCCAGACTTCCGCATTATTGTTTTAGCAAACCGGCCTGGCTTTCCGTTTTTTGGAAATGACTTTTTTGGAGCACTTGGTAAGACTTATATATTATGCAGAATGCCATGAATGGCCAATCAGAATCAAGGATCCCATAAAGCGATGTAATACAATAATTATGTAATACCGTTTCTTTTTTTGATGATTTAACGATTTACTCTTTCAGATCAATTCTGAGCCCTGGCTGAATTATGTGACTCGGGTGTTGAGGAAAACTTGTAGAAAATTTGAACGAAAATGGAATAAAGACGGGTTACATATATTTTTTGAAATGTTACTGGAGTCTCTAGCCAACTATCAGAATGCTGTAAAGATGGCTTAAAGAAATGATTTTGCAGAAATAATTACAAAAAATAGTGGTAAGCCGCAAGTTCTATTTAATATAATAAATTCTGCACTTAATCCAAAATCTGATTTGTTTTCTGACCCTCCAATTATTACTTGTGAGGACTTTTTGGATTGTTTTGTTCAAAAGATTTCCGATATCAGATCTTCGTTGTTCGCCTACCATCTGTTGGTTTTGACCATTTTGAACTTATTTCTCTGCAATCATTAGCTAACGTAATCAGCCAGCTGAAACCAACTGATTGTGCACTTGATATCATTCCAGCTAGGTTAGTGAAACAGGCATTTGATGTTCTTGGCCCCAGTATTTTATCTATAATAAATAATAGCCTTTTAACAGGAGTAGTCCCTAATCAGTTTAAACATGCTGTTGTTCAGCCACTTTTGAAAAATACACATTTGGATCCTGCTGTTGTATCAAATTATCGGCCAATCTCAAAGTTACCTTTTCTATTGAAGGTTTTAGAGAAGGTGGCTTTTAATCAGTTACATACTTTTTTGCTACAAAATTATTATTAATATATTTTTTATTACTATATAAATAAAATATTAATTATTTTCTGTAAATGTTGGTCAAGATTATTCACAACCTGTTTCTTTACTTTGTGGGGTTCCACAGGGGTCCATTCTCGGCCCGATTTTGTTTTCTTTGTGTATGTTACCCCTTGGATCCATTTTTTGTAAGCATGGAATCTCGTTTCACTTCTATGCAGATGACATGCAAGTGTATCTTCCTCTGCAAAAGAATAGTAAAAAGCAAATAGAATCTTTGGAGCTCCAAATAATTTATCTGATTTGGGCAGTTTAGCCCCTTTTTGTAAGCCAGTAGTGCAAAATTTAGGAGTTCTTTTTGATAGTGATCTCAAGATTGAAAAACAGATTTATTCTGTGGTTAGGTCCTGTTTTTAACACTTGAGATTAATAGCCAAGGTGAAACCATTTTTGTCCATGCGTGATTTGGAAAAAGTAATTCATGCCTTTGTATTCACAAGGTTAGATTACTGCAACTCATTATATGTTGGCATTAATAAATCATTGCGAGGCTTTTGACAGGTTCTCGTAAGAGAGATCATATTACTCCTGTTCTGAGTTCTTTACAATGTTTACCGATCCCTCATAGAATTAATTTAAAAATTTTGGTTTTTGTCTATAAATCATTGCATAGTAGGGTTCCATTGTACTTGGTGGAACTGATTGAGAAATATGAGCCAAAACGGTCTCTAAGGTCAGCTGACCAGCTGGCTTTGATGATTCCTAGAACTAAATGGCGAAGTGGAGATCGAGCTTTTGCAGCGATAGCATTTAAATGCATTAGCATTTAATGGGGTATAGACATTTCTCTGTATATTGAAATTGTGGAGTTTATTTCACTGTCATTTTATTGGGGTTTTAGTGTTGTGTTTTATGTTTGAGACGGTTTTATTATGTGTTTACATATTGTACAGCACTTTGGTCAATGGTCGGTTGTGTGAAAGTGCTCAATAAATAAATAAAAGAAGAAAAGATGAAGAGGTTTTTAATAATATGATGGAAGGTAATGGTGAGAGAGGGTGAATGGTACATGAGCACCAACTGCACATCTCTAACAGGCAGTCTATTAACTTTGCTGGTTCTGTGTTACGCAGACACCTGTGATCATTAACAGCAAATGTGGAAGGAGTCATCACTATGGAAATATTGTGAATATTGCAATATTGTTATTATGTTTATTTAAAATGTGCCATTAGATTGGTTTCACGGTCCTTCTTTGTCTTGTGTCTTTTGAGTTTATCGGAGAGTTTAGAGCAGTGCTTCTCCATCTGTTTTGCTCGATATGTATCGGGGGTATGCAAATATATTGTAATTATTGTTATGTGCAAATCTGCTTTTTAAACAAATCAGTTTCATCAGTGATTCAATGACCGACTTAATCGACTTAATCAGACTAAATCAATCAGTTTGAATGAATAACTCAATGACTCAACTCATTAAGACAGTAGCTGTGTCCGAATATGGCTACTTTCATACTATGCAAGTTTTCAGTTTTTTTGTCAATATTGCACACCGCTAAAGTCACAAATGTATTTGTTTAAAGGTGGAGTGTGTCATTTTTGCAGCAATAGTGACACAAAATACAAAGTTCTGTCACGGAACTCTAGATGGTGCAGGCCGATTTCTAACATATAATAATATCATCATTCACATGGCGCAGCTTATTGGTTTCTTTTTGCATCAGCAACCAATGAGCTTGCTGCTCAAATGCTCAGCTAGTGCTAACATTAGCAGTTGCAACGCGTTTCAGAAACCCTCCCCCTTCCCTTGCTCCACCTGTATAGATCTGCTACGGGGTAATTTCATGTATGTTATATATGGGGGTTATTTTATATATGTTATTACATATATTGCACAGCAGCAGTATTTCCTACATGCTCACAGCAGCGTGTCTGTGGATATATTGGCAGTAGCAAGTTTCGGTACTTGCTCTGCCGCAGCTGCAGTGTAGCAGATGTATTCCACCAAGATCAAACACATTAACATTGCCATATATATTACCATAACTTTCCTAAAGTCATGACAGAGATAGAATTGCAAAATGACAGGTGGCCCTGCCCTAAACTCACACCATTGGATGAGCCAGTGTTATTATGTCTAGGCCAGTTGGACTGCTCAAATGAACATCAGTTTGATTTCTAGGATCATAAAAATGGCAAACTTCACCTTTAACAGATGCTTTGATCTCATAAGCTGCTTATTTCATTGAAGGTGCAATAGAATAAACCCTAAACATGCTTGAATTCAGACTCCGAAATAACTGAAACTGAAAACTTGATTTCTAGCATCTGGTTAGTGTATTTAAACGACATGAAAGATTTCGGACAAATTCCAATCGGAAGTGAGCACCACTATCCTGTTCTTTCATAAAGAGCAGAGCACTTAAAGTGGGAAATCTGGAGAGAGTGGTTGTTTGGTACAGACTTGGCAAAGGGAGCAGTTAAAACAACATCATTTTCTCTGGAACGGCCTTTGTGTGGCATCCATGTTATATCTGTCCAAGTGCTCTTTCACTGTTTGGAATTTGTACTTTATCTGATTATCAAGAGTGAGTCATCCGCATTATATAACAACAAATATATGTCTCATTCAATAACGGTCATTTTATTTGCTCAGTGTTTTATATTATATACTTTCAATAAAGGAAATTATTTGTTTCTTCTGTCTCATATTTGTCTTATTTCACTTGCTTTTGAGTGTTTTGCCATCTGGTATATACAATTTGTTATATTTTATACCAAGTGAAGAAACAAATATTTCCTTTTGAATGATATAATCACCTTTTTAGGAAGTATTTGAAATTATTTGGTCAAAAATGCAGTAAATGCAGTAATATAAAATATTTGTACAATTTTAAACAACTGTTTTGCAATTTATTGCTGTGATGCAAAGCTGAATTTCAGCATAATTACTCCAGTCTTCAGTGTCACATGATCCTTCAGACATCATTCTAATATTCTGATTTGCTGCTCAAGAAACATTTCTTATTATCAATGTAGAAAACAGTTTCGTTGCACATTTTTGTGGAAACCGTGATACATTTTTCAGGATTCTTTGATGAACAGAACATTCAAAAGAACAGAATTTATGTGAATTAGATATATTTTGTAACATTATAAATGTCTTTACTGTTACTTTTGATTAATTCAATGCATTCTTCAATAAAAGTTTTTTTTAGTTTAAAAAGTTTAAAAAGTCCCATTGACCCCAAACTGTTCAATGGTAGTACATTGATACATTACATTAAAAGGGTTTTAACGCTCTATTGTATTAATATTTTAGGGGAATGATATATCATCCCATCTGTTTGAATTGCAGAGTAGTGCAGTAATGTTTTCTCTGGGAATAGTTACTGAGCAATAACCAGATGTGCAACTACAACCTTCCTGAATGTCAATGAACTCCAGCCCCACTACAGAGACAGCAGAATGAAACAGTGACCACCTGCACATCATTTTCCAAATCATTGTCCAAGTTTTCATTAAATTGATGTGCATGTAAACAGAGATTTTGAAAAATCTTGGTGTGACCGTCAGCTTTTGCTTAACCCTATAAAAGGACACAGTTTAAGTTTTTGTCATGATCAATATGTTGTCATAATCGGTGTAAGATTTAAATTTCATGTCTTTGGCAAAAAGCCAATCACCAGATTCCCTTTTCCCAGGTTACCATTGCCAGACTGCTACTGGACAAATACTGCTACTGGACCATCAGTCAGGGTGGAAGAACACGACGAAAGCTGCTGTGTCCAACAGAGTCTCATCGCATCGATATCAAGGTATCATAACCCTTTCTATTTCCAATATTTTAAAGTTGATATTAGCCTATTGCTAATTTGAAACTAATTTGATATTTTTGGTTCTCCTCAGGGCCCAGTGTTTCTGGGGGTTCAGATTTATCCTTCTGAGAGGCACGAGTCCAGATCTGTGAGCTTCACTGAGGAACAGGCTCACTAACAGATTCCCATGAACGAGGTCAACATTGTCTGCGATGTCACCACTGTTAACGGTAGGCCACGACTAAACGGTGATGATATTGCAGTTAGTCTCATGTAGCCAGACCTAAGATCCAATGAATCTGGATTTAGAAAGTCTTGTGAATTTTATTTTGAAAGTGAGTCATTGTTTTCCCTCATGGATTCCATTTATGTGGCCACATGTAACCCTGTACCACTGTATGCTATGAAGGAGAAAGGAGACTCCGTCCAGTGCATTGAGCTCTATGACATCTTCCCCCGGACCATCAGTGGAGTCTGGCAGCCCTTTGTCTCTGTGGTGACACTGGGCAACCCGCTTCAGGACCAGGTGGTGCTCCATGAAGAACAGGTGTGTGTGTGTGTGTGTGAGAGAGTGTGAACCCGCTCTTCTACAAGGACACTTCACATGAAAGCGTTGCCGTCCACTTTGGCCATTAGCGATCCATTTACAGGTGTCATTCCTGCCCTGAGGTTCATCTGAGATGTGCTGTTATTATCTGAGCATGGAAACAGAAGATCATCAATAGATGCATCATTTCCACCAAACCTGTGAGGGGAAAACAATGTCTAATAATAGCGGATGGAAATAGTAAATGGTCACAGATCAAAACAAGTTTGAGGCAGAGTTTTGAGCTAATAGATGCACCGTAGTCTACCGAGATGTGATGTTTGTGCAATTATACCATTTGGTGTTTTTTTATTTTTTTTATTTTTTTTATTTTTTTAAATAACATGTTAAACAACATCTTGAGGTATACTGAAGCCTGCACATTATCAACTGTACTTTGCTGGATGTTGTTGTCACTATGTTTATAGGCTTTGTTTTTCCTTAGTTCAAATTTAAATGGCGACCTTTGGTAGATTTAAAATTGTTTTTTTTTTAAATATACTTAAAATCTTAATCATGGTTTACCAAAACACACATTTAAAGGGATAGTTCACCCAAACCTTAAATCATTTGCTCACCATCATGTCCTTCCGTAAGACTTTGTGCAATTATACCATTTGGTGTTTTTTTATTTTTTTTATTTTTATTTATTTATTTTTTTTTTTAAATAACATGTTAAACAACATCTTGAGGTATACTGAAGCCTGCACATTATCAACTGTACTTTGCTGGATGTTGTTGTCACTATGTTTATAGGCTTTGTTTTTCCTTAGTTCAAATTTAAATGGCGACCTTTGGTAGATTTAAAATTGTTTTTTTTTTAAATATACTTAAAATCTTAATCATGGTTTACCAAAACACACATTTAAAGGGATAGTTCACCCAAACCTTAAATCATTTGCTCACCATCATGTCCTTCCGTAAGACTTTCGTTCATCTTTGTAACACAAATGCAGGTTTTTTTAATGGAATCTGAGAGATTCTGTTCCTCCTTTGAAAGTCTGCACAACCGAAACTTTGACTTTTCAAAAAGTTCATAAAGACATTGTAAAAGTAATTTGCATTCATGCATAGAGCTCATCAAATATTACAAACAGAAGTTCAAATGTGCTTACTTGATGTGCGAGAACCAATGAGGTTTGTTCATGCATGCCACACAAGTGCATTTGAACTTCCATTTACCATATTCGATGTGCTCTATGTATGCATGTTGATCAGTGTTTATATGTAAATAAAAGCCTAAATTAAAGCTGTTTGTCATATAAAGCAATTGTGTCTCTTCAGAACACATGGGTTAAATCGCTCGATTCGAGTACTTTTGTAATGTCTTTGTGTAACGGTTGCACGGACGTTCAAAGGAGGGACTGAAATTTCTCAAGTTTCATTAAAATATCTTCATCATTTTGGGGGGGACTATCCCTTTAATTTAGTTTTACACAACCATTTTTGTCTCTGAGCATTAAAAAATAAAATAAGCTGTTTTTGATACTGTATATCTTTAAAGGAATAGTTCCCCCAGAAATGAAAATTCTGCCATCATTTACTCACCCTCATGTTGTTCCAAATCTGTATACGTTTCTTTATTCTGCTAAATGCAGAAGAAAATAGTTTTACGAATGTGGGTAACCAAACATTAGACGATACCCATAGTATGGACAAAAATACTATGGAAGTCAATGGCTACCATCAACTGTTTGGTTACCAACCTTCTTCAAAATATCTTATTTTGTGCTCAACAGAAGAAAGACACACATACAGGTTTGTAACAACATGTGGGTGAGTAAACAATGACAGAATATAATTTTTTGGGTGGACTACCCCTTTCACTTACATAATAAGGTACCAAACCAAAAACCAGAAAGAAATCTAATAGGAATTTACTTTCATACAATGCAGCTGGTGTGTATTAGAGTCGAGCCTGGAGGAAACCTTAAAACACCTGTTAGCAGTGGAAAAAGGGGTGTAAGATCTAATAATCTTAAACTTAATATTTTTTGTTGACATTAGCCAGCATACAAAATGTGCAAGGTGTTTGCCCACAAGAACTGGCTTCTCTTCTGCAAAGAAAACGGGTAGGTTACTGTCCCTTAATCATTTGTGTACATGCCACTCTTACGCTCTGTTCTGAAACCTAGTGAGCTGCCTATATCGGTAGCATTTTTAGTTTTCAAAGCAAAGCATCTCTTGTCCAAATTTTAAGACAACATGCATATTTCCTTACAATTCCAGAATGCACTTCAACAAAAACCTGCATAAGATGTCTGATGAAGTGATAAAATTAAAAAGACAGACAAGACAATTATTTAGTCTAATTACAAAAACACAAATTTGTATGCTATGAATGTTGAGGCACCATACTTTAGCTTAGAAACATGCTGACAAGTCCGCCATAAGCTCCAGCCTTGAGATAAGAGTCAATTGCATACTTTAAAAATTCCAGAGCAAACTGCCTTCTAGAAATCTCATCATGTGACTTCACTATTCTCAAAACCGAACGATGATTAAAAGTTATTGTTACAGTTATTGTCCTTGGTGTGAACAGGCCTTTAGTCCCATCTGAATCGGTACATAAAATCACAGACATTGAGTTACAGACATACTGTAGCACTGTGAATTACTTTTATAATGTCTTTATGTACTTTTTGAAGCTTGAATATTTTGGTTGTGTGAACGATCAATAGATGGACAAAATGATGAGACAATATTAAAGATATATTCATTTGTGTTCGAAAATTAAAGTCTTATGATTTCGGAACAACATGAAGGTAAGTAAATGATGCCAGAATTTTCATTTTTGGATGAACTATTCCTGTTTAGTTAGGATGTTGTCTTAGAAAGCAGCTGTCTATGTAGGCTATAGACTGCTAGCAGCTCATTAGGTTTCGGATCAGAGCTCTGGTGTCCTGTTCAGGCATGGCCTACTGATTTGCACTCTGCTCTACATGGACAGGAGTCAGCTGGATGTTGTTGATGTGCTAGAAGGTCAGGTTCACACCATTTCCCTCCCCATCAATCTCAAAGCTGTGTTCCTGGTGGCTGAAGACTGCTGGCTTCTTGTTGAGAGCAAGACTGACAGGTGCCAATGAAATTCAAATTCCTTCATATCTTAGTTGTTTGCACACATTGCTCAGCTACCATCATGTGCAGGAAGTTCCTATTGACAAAGCCCATGCACATGGGCACAGAGGACACGGGAGTGTGCCAGCTGCACGCCATCAGTGAAGACGTGGTTAACACCGGCTTTGGCACCAGCTCAGGTGAGCAACTCTTATCGCTTATTGGCCAGAACAGCCAATCAGAAGTGACTCTGCATTGTTGCCATCCAATCAGGGTCACTGAGAGCTCTTCACACTTGTCAGTCACCATCTGTCTTGCATTGGCAAATGTGTCTGTTTCACATCTGCTTTGACTGACATGAAGCCTGGGGGATTTTTAAATCTGACTTGTGTCAGATTCAGGAATTTTGCATGTGAATAAACTTGGTGTCATCATTGATGGCTTGCATGGTAAATATGGTCTCAGATGCTGGTGTACAAAAATGTGCTTGCAAAATTAATCTGTTCACTCTTATTTATGCTTATTGCACTCTCCATTCTCACTCCTAGTGGGCATGCTTTCACTTTAAATTTTTTAGTCAAATCAAGTCACATTTATATTTATATATCTCTTTATATAAAACAGATTGTTTCAAAGCAGCTTCTCAGTAATAAACAGGAAAATAACTTCTTCAAATATGAGACAAATGTAAATTCTGCTGTAAAGCAGGCTCTAAAAGACAATAGTATCATTATTCAACTCAAGTCAGTTTAATGTTGATTCAGTTTACTTCAGTTCGTTATGAAACGAATTAGGGGCCATTCACAAAACACGTTTTTGCTTTGCAGTGGAATGGGAAAAAAACGCAAGGCCTCGAGACGCTTTTTTTAATTTGAACTTGAGCACCACTTTTTGAGAACGCTTTAGTACGCAATGGTCAAACATGTCCGTCTAGTGTGAAAAGTATTGGTATGGAAAAAAACGTTCCGTGTGAACGGCCCTTGTATTCAGCTATAAAGTTCAGTTTAGCTTACTTTTTTTTTTTTGTCAGTGCAATCAAATCAACAATAGTACCGAATATTAAGTGTCTTTTAAACCCCCGTCCCCAACTAAGCAAGCCAATGGCGACAGAAGCAAGAAACCCAAACTGGTGTCAGAAATGTAGAAAAAAAAATATTTGAAAAATCAGTCGAGAGGCCAGTTCTCCTCTGGGCTAAATGAACAAATGCAATTTGTCATTGCTCATAGTTAGGCTGCGGGTTTTCTCCAGATGTTACGATCAATCAGAGTAAAGTACCTCTGCCTCAGAGCGTGACTGTCCACGGAAGAAGCTATTACACTACGTCTGTCGGCTGACAGACAGGTCATGGTTATAAGCCGCTGCCACCTGTCAAGTCAAGTCACCTTTATTTATATAGCGCTTTTAACAATACAGATTGTGTCAAATCAACTGAACAGCATTAATTAGGAAAATAGTGTGTCAATAATGCAAAGTGACAATAGTAAACACTAATTTTTCAGTTAAAGGCAGTTCATCATTGAATTCAGTGATGTTATCATCCAGCTCAGTTCAGTTTAAATAGTATCATTGCAATCATTTGCAATCAAGTCAATGATATCGCTGGAAATGAAGTGTCCCCAACTAAGCAAGCCAGAGGCGACATCGGCAAGGAACCAAAACTCCATCGGTGACAGAATGGAGAAAAAACCTTGGGAGAAACTAGGCTCAGTCGGGGGGCCAGTTCTCCTCTGGCCAGACGAAACCAGCAGTTCAATTCCAGGCTGCAGCAAAGTCACATTGTGCAGAGGACTCATCTGGTTCCTGTGGTCTTGTCCCGGTGGTCGTCTGAGACAAGGTCTTTACAGGGGATCTGTATCTGTGGCTCATCTAGTTGTCCTCGTCTCCGCTGTCTTTCAGGGCTGTAGAGGTCCTTTCTAGGTGCTGATCCACCATCTGGTCTGAATACGTATTGTATCCGAGTGACTGCAGTGGCCACCTGATCTGGATACAGACTGGATCTGGTGGCTATGGTGACCTCGGAATAAGAGAGAAACAGACTAATATTAGCGTATATGCCATTCTTCTAACGATG